AGTTGATTTTTTTCAAGGTTTATTTATTTTTATTTGAAAGGCAAACTTAGAAGAACAGAAAGAAGGGAGGAGATTCAGTCCTGTGTCTCATGTGAAACGCCTGCCCCAGAGTGAGATGTGAGGCATCCTGAAACATGGCTGTGCGATCCAATGCAAGCATGGTCCTGTGCCACACTCCCCAGAGTGAGTTTGTAACACAGAGAGAGGAGGACTTCACTTTGAAGCTGTTGGATTTCTATCCAGAGCTGCCCTGGGAAGAACAGTTCGAGGCTGAGCCCCACCAGCCCAGCTGCTCTGTCCCTGGCCATCGTGCAGCATCTCTCAGCTGGGCAGCCGTGTTCTTCTGAGCAGCTTTGTGTCAGGTCAGAAGACACTTCTAGACCACTGTGACAGTTCAGGTGCTGAGCAAATGATGGCCGCAAGAGCTCTGTGCGATGGCCGGACTCGTTAAGTGGGTGATTATTGTTACACTTGACCAAAGGAAGCAGGCTTCTAGAGTTGCATAGACACACTTCTAGCCAGGAAATTGCAAGGATGGAAGCTGCTGCCACATGCGTATGCTGTGTGCCGTGTGTCTAGTCAGCCTAGGTTGACCTGCTGCTTGCCCCCATGCCGGGCTGACCACTGACAGTGTCAGGAATACCTATGCCTGCCGTATGTGCTTGCTGAATGGAGAGACCCATGTGCTACTGTCGACTTTAAGTGGTGATGTGTCTTCCCATCACTCAGCAAAACAGGAAAAAGTTGCAAAGAAGGCCTTGGTATTCGTGGACCCTTAAAATAATGTGGGTGGAAACATTGTGAGTTTTTTTTTTTAAATTCATTTTAAAATTATGCCAAGCAAATGCTACCTTGCAGCCTACAGTTTTTAGTTTCTTTACCTTTTTGTTTATTTTTACAAAGTAATTCCAAGTTGGAAGGCCAGATGCTTTTTGTCTAGTGAACCCAGAGCTCCTCGCATTTGTTTATAATTTGTCTCATCATTGGGACAAGACCTCTGAGGACATCATCGTCTGGAAAAGCCCTTAACTAAAAGGGCTTAACTAAAAAGCCCTTATATACCAAGGTTTTCAAAAAGGATGCAATTTTAGTGAGTTAAATGAATGGGGAGATGAATAAAAAGACCGACGGGTACGTGAGCAAATGCCTAATGGGATCAGTAACTTGGCCAACATGGAAGGAGCCGGTGCCTGTGCGACGTGCAGTGCAGATGCTCAGTGTTTCCTGCTGTGACTCACAGCGGTGCTGGATCTGTCCTTTAGGTGCCTCCCCGTTTGTGAAAGCTGTTGGCACCCTCAGGCCTTCCTCCCCGTTGTCCTGCCGTCTTCCAAGTCGTGTGTAGGCACGCATGCCCCACGTAAAGTCACAGCAGAAGGGAAACCTCAGATCCCCCTTTGAAGAATTAGTAAATTTTTCTCCTCTGAAGTCCAGACTCATTTTACAATTTTCATGTCTGTCTCGCAAGCTTCCTCGTTGATGAGATCAGTGCAACACCTCCCCTTCCTTGAAGAGGAAATGTTATTTTGAGGATGAAGTGAGAAGATGAACATGAACTTTTGAAAATACAAGGTTCTCACCTAATATTGTTTCATTAATTACTGCTGCACATCTCCCGCCCCATTAGTGACAGGGGGAGCAAAGTGTATCACTCTGTATCTCTAAGAATCTTATTAATAATTGCAAAAGGCCACACACACAACCTTACTTGTATAATCATTTGCATTTCAAATTGTTCTGCCCACGTTGGTTTATCTAACATTAAAAGAATATCGGGTTAGTGGATGGCACAGATATGAAGGCAAAAGCCCTTTTTCCTGTTTGCTGCTGCACAACTGGAAAATTAGGTGGCATCATAACTCTTAAAGAGAAAGAGAGGAAGGAAGGAAGAAGGGAAGGAAGGCAGGCAAGAAAAAAAGGAAAAGAAAAGAAGGAAAGGAAAAGAAAGAAAAAAAAACCCAGGATCACTAAACGACAAGGGAGTAATATGAAAAATCGCAGACTTAACGTATGTCTTTCCAGAACTCTTGCCACAGGCATGTTTCCTTTGGTGGAGTTGTTTTTTGTGTTTTTTTTTTTTTTTGAGTGTATATGCAAGTAGCAGAGTTTATATATGGGTGTTGTAAAAAAAAAATTGTTCCAAAAAAGTGAAATTTAATACTGGAAAGAAGTGCTCATAAATTTGACTTCGCCGCAAGGAACAGCTCAACCTTTAGTAAATACACTTCATATACCATGAGACCCTCTGTATAAATACAGCATGTCCAGAAAATTCAACATTTTAGGAATACATGGGCCTGCGGGTATGAAAAGACTAGAGCTTGTGGTAAACTATGCAAATATTTTTTAAAGGTTTATTTATTTCAAAGGTAGAGTTACAGAGAAAGAAAAGGAGAGACAGATTTTAATCCGCTGGTTCATCTCCACAAATGTCTGCAATAGCTGGAGCTAATCCAGTCTGAAGCCAGGAGTTTGGAGCATTTTCTAAGTTTCCAGTATGACTGCATGGAAGGACAGCTGTCCTCTGCTGCTTTCCCAGGCAGTTAGCAGGGAGCAGGATCAGAACCAGAACTAGCAGTCAGGGACTTGAAACAGTACCCGTGGAAGAAGGTGGTACTGCAGGTCGCAGCTTCACCCACCCTGTCACAGCTTCAGCCCCAGGATTATATTTTTGCAAACCATTCATTGGTGTTTGCATTATAGGGTGACGCAGTGTTTGAACACACTGTGCTTGCTGAAATGCTAGCTAACGAGGGAAAGTTGTAAATGGGAGGTTTGGACAAAGTTCTGATTGAATAGTGTGGGTTGAGATCTAGACTGTTTCACAATGATTACAGTTTCCTTGGGGATGTCCAGTTCAGCAGAACATCTTTAGAAAGTATGGGACTAAATGGTTTAGGGTCACCACATAGGGTGTCATGCCACTTAGTTAATCCAGGCCTGCTCTCCAGCTCTGCCCAGCTCTGCCCAGCTCTTGAGTGCTGTGCAGTAAATGAGGGCACTGCCAGCTGTGCTTTTTCCGTATCAGTGTAGCACAAATCAAGGCCAGGAGTTTGAGGTGCCTTTAATGATAGTATTCTGGAAAAGCCAGGCTCCTGCTCTGCTTGATATCAAACAGAATGCCTTTGTGAAAATCGCCTGGTACTTGCACAGAATCTGGAGAAATGAGGAGCTTTAAAACAGAAAACTGGGGACAGTGCTGTGGCATAGGAATGTAAAGTTATAGCCTGTGGCCCCAGCATCCCAAATGAGCCCCAATTTATATCCAGGCTGTGCCACTTCCAATCCAGCTTCCTGCTAATGACCTGAGAATCCAAACGAACATGGCCCAAGGACTTGGACTCCTATTGCCCCATGGGAGACCCAGGAGAAGCTTTTGGCTTCTGCTTTTGGAGTGCCCAGCTCTGGCCATTGCAGCGATTTGGGGAATGAACCAGCAGATGGAAGATTCTTTTGTTTCTACTTCTTTCTCTGTAAATCTGCCTTTGAAGTAAAAATGAAATAAATCCTAATAAAAAGGAAATAAGACAAGAATCCAGAGGCCCAACACTCGTGTTTCTGTGCATTGACAAGGAGAATTTCATGTGTGGCTCGTAATGCTGCAGTGAATGCCTGCTTCGTGGAAGAACTGCCAGGTGGTACCACGTGCCATGCCGGTGTGTTCAACAGTGCTGCATGCGTGTTTTAAAAGACCTTGTTATCTAGAATGAATCTATCAACAAAAATATTTTTTAAGTTGTCAGTTGTACAGGCGCAATGTTTCCCATGTGAATGTCATCTTTGCTGTTGGAGTCTGATTGTGGTGATGCTTGGCCACGTAACTTCATCTTATAAACAAAGGAATGTGTGAAGGTCTTAAAGCTGTTGTGGAAATGGTTCTCACATGTTTAGAGGTAGTAACTCTAAGCATGGGACAGAGAAAAACACATGGTTACCAAGAAGAAATATTTCATGATTTCTCCCAATTTTAGAATTCAGAATTCTTCCCTTGATGTTTGCCATCTCAAGATCAGTGTGCAAACTGAGTTACCGGGAGTGCTACACTGTGAATAGTGATTAGACTCCAAAACGTGGTTAGTGGCACATACGATCAAGTTGAGTTACCTCTGCTGACAATGTGGTCCTTTTGTGATATTAGGAATTCTGATAGAATATTGTGGTATCTTAACAGGATTGTCATGGTTATGTTATAAATCCCATTTTATAAGAAGTTGGATATAATATATGAATTTGTAATGAAATTAAGAAAAATCCGATATTCCTTTGCATCGTATCACAATCCTTATTCTGAATTAAGAATCTTTGCAGCAGACATGTAAAAAAAAAAATCACTCATTTTATGGAGTGTCCTCAGTGGCTTGGACATTTCACAATATTTAGTATATGTGTCTATAGTCAGTGTAACTATATGTATCTTTTGCAACATTTAACATTTCTTTATGGTGAAAACATTTAAAATCCTATCCTAGAAATGTTTTTTTTTCTTTTTCTAGAGAAATGCACGATATCAGTATTCCAATAATCACCTCATTGGTCGGTTGGTTTGTGATTTTTCATGATACAGTGCCTTAGGCTCAGGGCTTTCCCCTTCCTCCCTCCCCCCGCTCCTCCCCCACTGCACCGCTCCCCCTTCCATCATAACAACAGTTTAGTCTCTCAGTGGTCACAAGTCCATCGTTCTTGTATTGAAGACTCTGTAAATGAGCAGAGGCAGGCCTGATGAGAGCATTGTGCTTTTGTAGAAACGATCCACAGTGAAAAAGATGGCAGCGCATTAAGCAAAGATCTGTAACGTGGGAAGTGCTTGCTCAGGATCCCAGGGAGCAGGAGCCTCGTGAACATTCGGTGAATAACTCCTCGTAAGGGACCACGGATCTGAAAACAGGCCAGGGGCTGCAGATCCCAGCCACTTAGAGAACGCTTCCCATCGCCTCTCACAGCTCTGTCTTGCCACCTGTGTGTCACTCCTAGTCCTCTGACCTGTCTTGTTCGTCTGTTCACAGAATGCTCAGGCCCTTTGGGAATCGAAGGCGGAATCATATCAAACCAGCAGATCACAGCTTCGTCCACTCACCGAGCCCTGTTTGGACTCCAGAAATGGTACCCCTACTATGCACGTCTCAACAAAAAGGGGCTGATAAACGCCTGGACGGCTGCAGAAAACGACAGGTGGCCGTGGATTCAGGTACCAAGTGGGATGGGACAAGGTGGAGGAGGCCCCCAGTGCTGGGATCATGAGGCTCAGAGTCCCAGCTGACTCATGGGAGTCTAAGAGTGTTCTTTGGAGGAGTCTTTCAAACAGGAGACTTTCTCTGATACAAGCTGTCCATGTCAGTGACTTAGTTTGTTAGTTATGTAAAAATTATTTTCTTTAAAAAATTATTTTCTTTAAAAAAAAGTTATCAATTTCTTGGAGTGAAATCCTATTTCAGAGACTCTGGGAAGCTTGAACACTCACTATTAATAGCTCTTGTCACTTAACTCTTATTTATATTCAGCCTTTCAAATGAAACATCTGAGTACTTTGCTTCAATACACTTATAATATTCCACTAATCTTGCAGAAGTATGACACTCATGCATTAATTAGTATTCAATTTAATTTTCTTCTTTGTCTCGAAATGAACATTGAAATTGGCATTTCATATTTGCACACTCAGAATGCAATTATTGACAGCACCCCGATGGCCAGGGTTGGTTCTGGATTGAGTGGATTAGTAGAGTAAATGCAGTTAAACAAGAACTTAGCTTTTCTTGATGAAAGTTTTCCTGACTTTCTCTGCTTCCATTCAGCATCCTAGACCTTCCATTTCTTGCTCTGACTGATGTGTTAGAAACAGGGACTCCCAACCACAGTGAGGTACCATGTCCATCCCATTTGAATGTCTAGTATTAAAAAGACAAAAGAGAACCCTTAGACACTGCTGGGCAGAATGTAAATTAGTTCAATCATTACAGAATACAGCTTAGGCGTTTCTCTCCCCAAAGAGAGACGGGTCTTCCATATGGTCCAGCAAGCTGGCTGTGGCTAGCGTCCCGGGATGTGAATCAGACTGTGACAGGGACCTCTCAGCTCTCAGGTTCTTTGCAGCACTTTTCACAGTGGCCAAGGACTGGACGCTGACCAGTTACGTTGAAAAGACGAAGATTGTCTCGGTCTTGAGGATCTGGGTGTCTGTTGGAAGTACAGCTAATGATGAGTGCATGGCACAGGAGAGGTTAATACAGGGAAGACATGCGCGGCAGGAGAGGGAGCGCTGCCTCGGGTGCTCAGCAGCGCCCCCAGTGTTACCTGTGATTCCGTGTGTGCACTAGGCGTCAGCCAAGGCAGCAGTCAGGAGGCAGGTCCTTGATGTCCCAGCTGCCTGCTAGATGCCCGTCTGTTACCAAACTTCAGTCATTCAAAAGCAAATACACATGTGGCTCCTCCGTGTTCAACAAAATACGAGCTAAGAAGGCGTGGCCCTGCAACAGAATTAGGATCGACAAGCTGTGTGTCGGGTTTCTGGGCAGCAGACCTGCACGTAAATATTCTTGTTAGCAGAGGAATAGGGAATGCCACAGGAAGAAAGGAGCCAGTCACCTGCTCCGTGTTCAGATTCTGTGTAGTGTGAGTCTGGATGTTCATAAAAGCTCAGAATTTCAGAGGTAGATTTTTGCTTTTCCTTCTCAGGTTACTTCCTAGTTACACACCGTGACTGACAGAGAATCTAACCCGTGTTTTCAACTTCCTCTTTCTCACGGAACTGCTTAGGTCTCCTCCTACCCCCTCTAAAAAAAACCTATATGCACAGATACACATCTGCCTATACCAAATTCCTCTCTTGAGTGAGTTATTTCTGGGCATTGATATATTGCTTCTTCCAGTAATATTTTTTTCAAAACTAATCTCAGGTGGAAAATGACTGTTTGCGTTTAAGTTGTTTATTAGAAGTGAGCTGCCACCATATCACGGAGGGCTAAAACAGAATTACTTTGTTATTTTTTAGAAAGGTATTTACCACGTGTGGACAGGTGCAGGCGCAGACTGCTTGTGTGTTTAGCTCTTGCAGGTGTGTTTTTGATCTCCAGGCCTGTGAGCTCTGGAATCTGTGATTTGGGCTGTAATGTGCACGAAGCTCCTTGGGGAAACTCTTCTCCCACTTTCTACCGTTTTCTTCCACGACTCTCAGTGCTCAAAGGCGCCACGGACCATGTTTGCTCTTTCTGGCATTCATCCAGCTGTTGTCCGTGGTCACTACATGATGGTCCCTGCACTGACCACCTGTTCGCTTACTTGATGTTCAGCCTCCTGAGTACTTTCTTTGTGAAGTAATTCCTGGACGCCTGGCCTTTTGTATCCAAAGATAGAAATGACCACACTCCTTCCCTGCCACATCCTTCTCTCCTGCTGAGAACATGTTTCCATTCTAGCACCAAAACAGTGCTCTGTAGTCCTTGCTGGCCTTTCCCTCTCTTTCTAGAAGCAAGTTGAAAGTGGGAATTATGCCTGATGCATGTCTACTTCCTTGAATGAAAACTGTGTTGGTCAGGTGTGGGTGTGTGGCTAATAGCAGAGGGAATCTTGCACCAACCGTGTCTGTCTCCGTACAGAAGGCACACTGCGATCAGTGGCACGGAGGATGCTCCAAATACCCAGCTCCCTCTCAACATCTGTTGGACAGTGAGCCACCCTCTGGCATTGTACCCTCCAAGCACCCAGACAGATGTGTGTGATGGGTCTGTGTACCGGGGAATGACTTGCCCACTTGGAACACACGGACCACTGTAAACCCCGGGCTCTGTGATCGCAGCAAACCACTTCTTATAAAGCAGTACTGCATGGGTAAGGGATTTTATTTGTGACATGTTTGCCAAGGGATTGGTTAGCAAACCCAGTACCGCAAATATCAGAGATTTCATCTCTTCCCATCCCATTCACATTCCTGAAATGTCAAAAAAAAAAAAAAAAGGCTTAACTTCTTGCACCTTTCAGGAGTTTGTTATCATAATCACGCCATATGAGTTTGGAAAAACTCCCAAAATATTGAATATAAACATATCTTCTTCCTCTCATATTATTTAAAAAAAAATGAAACTGCTTTAAAATTCCAGTGGGAGAGGGCTTCAGAATGTTGACAGAAAATATGTATTATGCAAAGCTATGTATGCATAGATTTTAAAATGTTTTGCACTGAAAGAAATTTATCTTTTAATCCCAGTTTCCATAAATGTTTTGAAGTGCCTCATCTGTTGTTGGCTTCTGGAACTTGTGACTCTCACCCAGGCAAGCATGCTGAAGACATACAAAGTACCCAAAGTGCAGAATTGAAAGACTTACAACGAATAGGAATTATGTTAAGGCAACTTTGAACATCTGCTAGTGAACAGACCTCTTAGTGCATAATTCTTTATCTACTCTCCTATCAAAAGCCTTTTCATTGTTCTTCCTATGCATGTTGTCCATGAGGAAATCTCTTTTTAAATTTTTAATTAATATTTGCAAGATTAGACAGTTTTGAAAACACAATGGCATTCCCCTTTCCCTCTAAACCCTTTCACTCATGCTCGCTCTCTTTTTTGAGATAACATCCTATAGAAACGCACCTTAGTAAAAGGCTTAATACTTCACTGCCTAAGAAGTTTAACAAATGAAAGCAAAACGCCAGTTTACTAGGAGCACAGACAATAGCTGTATAGAGAGAGTGAACAGAAAAATGCTTCACCCTGTACTCTAAGTGAAAAGCACTCACATGTTTATTAAAACGGTAGCAGTATAATACCCTTAACTACTTGACGAAGTTGTAAAGCAAAGTTGGCAAGCCATACCTTTGCAGGGACCCAATACCACAGACAATCCTTTTTTTCCTGCAGTTTTCAGCTCGCACATGTAAGTGAGAAGATGCAGAGTCCATCTTTCTGGGTCTGGTTTATCAGTGTGTCTTCCAGCCGAGTCCGTCTTTCTGTGTGACTGAATCCTATGCTGTTATGTATATACCCCACAGTTCCTTTACCCATCCAATGACAGACATCTTGGGTGATTCCGGATTCTGGCCTTTGTGAACAATGCTGCTATAAATATGATAGTGCAGGTGTCTTTCTAATCCATTCTGTTCAACTGCTTTGGGTGTAAACAAAATAGTGGGATGGCCGGCTCACTTTTTCTAATTTGCATGTACAAGAGTTGAGATATATAAAATGGAAGGGAAAAAAAGAGTTGTTAAGTTTTTTTTTAAGCTTTCTTTATATTTATTTAAAAGACAGATAAAGGCAGATTTTATATAGAAAGTAGGAGAGACAGACAAGGTCTTCCATTCACCGGTTCACTCCCAAAGCAACGACCAAAGCTAACCTAACCCAAAGGCAGGAGCTGGGAACTTCTGGGTCTCCCACACATCGTGTAAGGATTCAAGGCTTTGGCTATCCTCCTCTGCTTTCTCGGTCTGTAGTATAGAGCTGGGATGAAAACAAAGCAGCCAGAATACAAATTGATGCCCATAAGGGATGATGGCAACGCAGGGTGCAAGATTAGCTTACTGTCCCATGTGCCTGCCTCAAGAGTTGAGGTTTTTAAATGCCTTGTGGTCAGCTGCTTTCCACCTTTTGTGAATGTTAACCTGTTGTTTTTGTAGCATATAAGAGTGATGTATTGAGAATATGCATGGATTGAAAATAGCAACTGATCATTGTCCAGGAAAAAATGCATGCATGCATGCATGCATATGTGTGTGTGTGTGTGTGTGTGTAATTCAGAACCTCTGGTTTTAGTTCACAGGATGACGTTTCCTGTTTCTATGTCTTGCCGTCACCAGTGAGGCAGCCAGTGGACGGCAGATCATGCTGCCTGGCACTCGGGACTGAAGGGGCTAGCCCTCTGCATGCCTGTTTCTTTCAGCTTCTGGCTCTCACTTTCCTCCTACGCTGTAAACACCCCCAGCAGCGCTCCCCCGAGAACCAAGGATCATCAGCATTGTTTATGCCACCCGCCTCTGGGGAAGGCTGCCTCTCAAGCAACCATTAGCACTGATGGAACCTCGCCGTGCCCTCTGCAAGGGCAGGTCCCCTGGCAGCCTGCCCTCCAGTCCCGGGAGGCCACAGGCATGCGGGGAGGCATGGGGACGCAGGAGTCTGAGCTGAAGGTCCGGTTGTCTCCGTGTGTTTATCCTCTGGGAGCCTGTGGGATCACTGTTTGGACTGACCTGAAGGA